AGGGAAGCATCACCAGAATGGAAAGACAAACCCCACATGTACTGAATGCAAAATTGGAGCTAGTCAATTGCTTTTGTATCCTTCTCAGATGTCACTTTTTGAAGTATGAAAAATGAAGGAAAAGTAATGACTGATATAATCTCTGAATCACACAAATGTGCTTCACATTTCTCTTCCACCTCACCTCTTAGGCATTCAAGTACATTGATTTTCTCTTCATCTCCATCACTTACCCCTGTATCATCATTTGAAAACGCATCTTCAAGGGTCTTGTCTCTATCATCCTCACACTCTTTGGGCTCTTCCTGACTACTTTCTTCCTCTTCTATAACTGGACCGTAAGGAGGAAAATATTCCCTTTTACTATATACATATAAAATATGTGAGAAGGGACACTAACAAATCATCTGGAAGGTTTTGTAATAATTGCTTACTGGTGTTGCATCACAGCCTTCATCTAATAACACCACAAGGTTTTAAATATCTGGCATCAAGAAATTTAATACCTTCAGGACTCTGATCCCATAAGTAATTGAATAGACAAAATAATAAACTCTAAAAATGTGGAGCTATAGGTGAACAGAACAGAATGGAGAACCTAGATATAAAACCATCTATGTATACCCAACTGGTCTTTGACATAGCAGATATCAACATACACTGAGGAAAAGAGGCCCTACTCCTGAAATGGTGCTGGAAAAATTGGAGAACCACAGGCAGGAAAATGAAACAGGATCCTTATCTCTCTCCAGTCTCAGCAGTCAATTCAAGATGGATAAAAGACTTGATTGAAAGGCATGAAATCATAAGAATTGAACATGCCCTACATGTAGACAAGGGCATGTAGGGAAAACTCTTCTAGATATTGGCCCAAGCAAAGGGATTTTGAGTGAAACCTCATGGCAACAACAAAAATAATTAAATGGGACTTGATGAAATTCAAAGTCTCTGCACAGCTAAGGGAATAATGAACTGAGAAAATAGACAACCTACAGAATGGAAGAAAATATTCACAAGCTATACACCCAATAAAGGGCTAATATTCAGAACCTGCAATGAACTTGAACAAATCCACATGCAAAACCCATAGTCTCAATGAAAAGTGGGCAAAACAATGAACAGAATGATTTCCAAAGAAGATAGACGAATGGCCAAGGAACATAGGTGAAAAACCTCAATGTCACTAATCATCAGGGAACTGCACATGAAACCCACAATGGGATGTCACTCTATTCCTATTAGAATGGCATTTATTGAAAACTCCCCAAGCAATAGATGCTGGTGTGTATGCAGAGAGAAAGGAACATTTACACAGTGTTGGTGGGACTGCAAAGTAGTATAACAGTGTGGAGACCTCTCAAAAAACTTAAAGTAGACTTACCACTCAATCCAGCGATCCCTGTACTGAATATCTACCCAAAGGCAAAGAATTCATTTTATCAAAAGGACACCCCTACTGGAATGCTTATTCCAACACAATTCATAATTGCAAAGATCTGGAACCAACCCAAGTGCCCATCAATTAATTCATGATTGCATTAAGAGAAAGGGTATATGTGTACCATGATGTACTACTCAGGCATAAGAAAAGATGAATCAATGCCATTTGCAGCAATTTGGAAGGAATTGGAGACCATTTTCCTCTTTTTTTCTTTAAAAAAAGGCCTACAGCACCCACTATTCCCAGGAGGTCTCCCATCCAAGTACTAACCAGTCCC